GAAACCCGCTGTCCCTACCTCACATGGGACCACCTCCAACATACCCAGACACGACGTGTCTGGGATAGGGACGACCGAACCGCCAGCATTCCGAGCCCCTGGGGTGGCTTCGGACTGGCCGACTGGCCTGTCGACCCTTTCGTTGATACGAGGTTTGGGAGGGAGACGCCTATGAAAAAACACACCCAAATAGTAAACCAATCTAACCAAGCAGAGCCACAAGGTCTCCCTATTAACATGCAAGTATGTTATTAACATGCAAGCATGTGCATCTTAAAAGCGAGACCTTGTGGCCCTTGTTGGATCATGTGGATCCCTAGATCTCTAACGTCAGCAGGCTCGCCTGTTACCAACGTCCCTGCTTTCGGGTGGCGGGCGACCAACATCCGTATTATTGTTGTTTTTTTTCTTCAATGGTTTGCCATGCCGAAACAACCCCAAAACCAATAGTTCCATACCCTGAAAATCTGAAATCTGAGGTACCTCACTTCTCTGGTTCTAACCGTGTTTTGTAGTGCAGCACAGACTGAGCAGAAAAGCACACAGTCTGGTCACACGGGCGTCGGCCCCCGAAAGGATGACCATCGTCATACCAAACACGTGGAGTCGACTCCACGTAACGATGATGTTCAGGAAATCCCCAGGAAAACAAAAGAACCATTTCATCCGGGTTTTTCCCATGCTTTGTGCTCTTGGAAGGTGTTTCCCATGCTTTTGGTGTTCCCCTCGGCATCCACGGCCCACCGTACGCTGCGCTGGCGCCTGAGCCTCGCCCGTGCCCAAGCGCGTGCCGGGCACGGGCATCTTTCCAGCCGCCTGCCTGAGCTTTCACTGCCAGAGACCCAACATCGGGCTGGGTGAGGTGCTGTTTTCATTGGGCGCGGGCTTTTCACTGGAACAGTGCACAAAACCAGGCAACTGGCAGAGACAGGCGGAGCGGCGCCATTTGGGTGCAAGGAGTGGCGAAGCCAGATATCCATACCAGGGTGAGCAGGTGGATACCAGGTCTCCGTATTCTGTCTGGCGGGAGTGGGAGTTTCTTTGTGATTTGTTCTTCCAGTGCAAGAAAGGCTTGAGTTCGTAGATTAGATAGACATGGGCTGGGAAATCTTTGTGGCAGCCTCCTACTGGCCTGCGGCCACCAGCGAATAACTGGGACTTATCTTCAAGATCTTTGAGAGAGAGAGAGAGAAAGTCTTCAAGTTCTTTGACACGAAAATACAAAGAATGCTGAAGTCATCCGCAGTGGTTGCAGCTCATCCGCGACGGTGCCCATTCGCTGCCATAGCTCCTGGAAAGAGAAGAACCCAACCAACCCTGCTCCGATCGCTGCTCTCTTCCGTTCGCTTCCCAAGTGACCAGTAAACCAGTGAACTGGTGTCGCTGTGTGAACATGGTGTCCACCCCGACCAGGATATGAAGTTGAAATCATGTAGACGAAATGAGGACCATAAACCCTCGATGGAGGATGCCACATGAAAAAACGAGGAAGGGTGCATGAAATCGAGAGTCTACATTAAGTTGAAGAGATTCAAAAACAAACAGCCCGACAATGATCGATCGTTGAACAAAAAGAAACAGCACACAACACCATCTTTGACATGCAACTTTGAAACCCACAAAGAGGGGAGTGTCAGAAACTGTGTCAAGTAGGGACCCCGTTGTTGCTGAAACCCACACAAAAACCAACAATCCGCAAAGCCTTGGTAAGAACGACTTGGTGTGGAAAACCCAATAACAACAAACAAAACACAAGCAACACATACTCTCTCATCAGTTGCGACACGCCAGGGCAAAACATATCTTCAACCAGAAAACAACAAGATTGAACATGATGATTGAACTGATTCCAGGGTTCATCTGCTGTTCGGCAACCATCTGCTCGATCCAAACTGCTTTTTTGGGTGTTCTCAATGAAGAGGCTTGTAATTGTTTAACATTCCAGCTACCATGTATCCTGGCTTGCAGGTAAACATTCCGCTTTTAGGTAATGATGCCACCGAATGCCACTGGGATTCTGTCATTTTCTTCTCACAAAAGGCAAGGCGAACAACATCCCTGTGCCACCTTATTGCACATTGGCAAAGCAGTTCCAATCATAAAAGCCGTTGGTCTTGCATGAGTCTTCGGGCTCTTGAGATTCAACTTCAAGGGAGTTGAAAAGCACATCTGAAAACATACACTAGAAGTCCGCACTGATGACGGAGAATAGACTAGACTTGTTATGGCGACGGACATTGCCATGCCAAACACACCCAGGGCTTTTGCCCCTGCTGTGGCTACAGGCAGCCCGCAGCATCTTTCCCCGCTTGAGGAACATGCCATGGCAGAATGGTCCGAATTAGGGTCTCGTGCCATGAAACGCAAATTGCCGTATAGGTTCTCCATCGCGCACGCATACTCGCAGTCCTCTGCCGCGTTCACGTCGGAACATGGAACAGTGCCATACCTGTCCAACTGCGGACCATTGTCACAACATTTGGTTGTCTCATAAGAGCATGGGACGGTCTCATCCATGACGACGAGCTCTCTGTGTTCATATCCTACCAAGGTTCCTAGGTCTTTGCAAATGCTCTTGCACTCAGAGTAATCCTGAATGGATTCGCATCGCCGGCACTCGCCCTTGGAATCGGCATTTCCCCATGGCCGGCATGCACGTGGTCGACGTCTGGTTTGGCATCGTTGTCGTCGATGTCTGGGCCATGCCAACATAGAGCACCCCGAAAGTGGCAAGAAGGACCATCCGGGCTGACGTTGGACCCATGGCTTGACAATGACTCAACAAGAATCAGGTGAGAGCAGGCTTCAAAGGCAGAAGTTACTCCCTTGAGCAATACGTATTCGTCATGTCCACAAGCACCATGTATACTGTATACTTCTGCAAGTGCTGATCTACCATGTACCTGGTAAAAAAGCCGTATCCTGTGTGCAACTCAATCCCAAACCGCTTTCAGTGTGACGACTCAAACTGGATCTGACAGGGGTTTCCGACCATATAGTGTTGTCCCGTGCGAGGTCGACGCGTCCATGGCAACAGGTGGATCTAAATGGTGGCACAATGTGGTGGTGACTACATTCGTCGCGATCATCATCATCGACCTACCAACGACGTTGCTCGCTCGGTCTAGCGGCCCGACCGATTTGACGGATGGCGGACGGTCCGCGAGCTGTGCTCCTTTCATAGCAACCCAGACGCTCCGTTCACAGCCCTTGGGTCCCTCAAAACCATAACGATTTGAGGGTCCGGACCCCTCCAGAGGTTCGGGTCCCTCCGTATGAGGGTCCAAACGCCGCGTCTGGGAAGGACACTAATGGCCTCCAACCGACCATCCCCATTTAAACCCTCTGGCCATTCTCCACTGTCTTTGGCTCTCAGAATCTCTCAGAACGGAACCGCTCAACGAGGCGCGCGGTTCCGTGAACCACGGAGCTCCTCGATGCTGGCATGGAGCTTGGAGATTTCCGCATCCACCGCGGGCGAAAACACCGCCAGCGCCGGAGGAAACGGCAGGGACAGCAGCCACGTGAAAGCAGGAAACGGCAGCATCGTTCATGCGCGCGTGAGATTCTCGTGTGTGATAATTCGAAGAGCCTCCGGTAGAAGGAGAAGTTTTGAGAACCTCAGAATTTGGTTGTATGTGGACCGTTGTGGGGATGCAAAGCTTTGCTTGGGGAGATTGGGGAGATTCTTTTCCAAACCCTGGAGAATGTTGAATGCTTATAAGTGGATCAAACAGATCATCAATTCCTGCCCCATCGGTGGTCATGTAAGACACACGGTTCCATAATGAGAAGAAACATGAGATAGGACGATGGAGCAGGGAGAGTTTGGTTCAGGAAACCAACCCGGAAACGACCCTGGGAGATCTTGGGAGTGATGACTTCTTGCAGAAAGGTCACGAAATGGACCATGGAATTCCATGAACTGACAGTATCCAAACGAACTCTAGCACCTCTGCGACTGCGAAGTCTTTTCAGTGATTTTTCTGCTCAAAGCAACCGATCGACCTCGTGAGGCTCGGCTCATGTGACGCTGCTACTCATGCTTGACAGCCCAAAAAAGAGCCGGCGGCTTTCCCGGGCTTTCCTGGATTCCTGAGACCACTTGAGCAGCGTTCTTGGCGTTCTTGGTGCAACCCGGAAAGTCTGGTATGGTTTTCAGTAATGGCCACAGAATGTGGGGATGATGGATGGATATGGCAAAATGGCCAGTAGATCCTTCGATATGGACATCTTCCTCGCACCAACCGTCGCCTGTCGTCACCACATGCCATGCATGGTCGCTCCAACTCTGCGTCGCATGGTCGCGACGTTCTCCGCTGTGTTTCCGCTTGAGCCGCTGTGTTTCTTTCGGGCGTTCAGAACGGTCGAGGTTCGAAGGTAGAGGTACCCATTTGCGGCAAAAGGTGACCAAGCGGCCAGGTGTTTCACCAATGAAGAACGCAGAAGCACCGCAAAGCACAAGAACTGAAGCTACAAACCCGTCCCCCTACTTGCAACTGTCGGCGTTGGCACTTGTGCCAGTGATGTCTTGTGGGCATTTGGCATGCTGTTTTCTCCCTATGGAATGCATCGCGGAGGCCAGCATCCAACAGCCATCCTTTTGTTGAGAAAAACACTCTACAAAATATCTGATGCAAACATCCATGGGTCCATCATCGACTCCCTTTGATCTTGTCTATGGCTACTTTCACGGACCACAACACCTTGAGAATACAAATCCACTCACCGTCGTGTTTGTTTAGAACAGCAACAGGCACCCCTCTGTTCAGCCCAATATGTCAGACATATATATATATATATATGTCCCATATGTCAGCCATGGTTAACTAGAGAACGCTGTGGACTTGGTCTTTGTGTGAAAGTCTGAAGCTTCAGGTCATCTACCGACCCCACACACCACCCGGAGCAACCAATTCTTTTTCTATCTTTTTCTTCAACGGGTGGTGCTGCCAAAAGCACTGCCGAATGGCCAAATGCTGATTTCTGAACCCCAAGGCCTCCGAGCGGAGCTTCTTGTCCGAGACCGTGGCGTTCACAATCTCGTTGAAGGTGATACAGTTCCTCGGCAAACGTTCTAGATACATCCTGGATCGCGAGGTGTCTCTGGAACTTATCTGGGCGGCGTTGACCTGTTCTGCGGCACTGGATTCTGCCCAAAACGGTGGTTCCGATAACGGTAGTGCATGCACCAAACGGATGGTCCTGAGGTCTCACACAACCCTTGCAGGTTTGTAAATCCACCCAAAATCCATCGAAATCTCATGTCCTACAGGATGATGTTCTCAGCCGAACATCAATCTGTCTCAAAGAATTCTCGTGACTCTCAGTCGCACAAACAGATCCAAACGGCCTCGCGATGTGTCTGTGTTTCTGGGTGGCCCAAACGGCTGGAGCTGCTCCGCCTGAAGAGGGCTCTGTGAGCGACGATGAGAGGAGGCAAAACACGCTGACGATGAAACTTCGAACGAACTTCAGAGCACTTCGGAGCAGAAAATTGCATGGGGGGGAGATGCACGGAGCGTTTCAGTTCATTTCAAGCTCGAAGGGTCTCATGAACCACTGACAAATGAAGAACTCCTTAGGGTCTCATGCATCATTTCCGGGTCTCCTCACTCCACCGGGTTTATAGCGTTTCTGTAGTTGTATCGTCTGTATCTTCGAGTTCACCATCAAAGCTCAGCTGCACTCGCCATTTGAATAGAGTGCTGGACCGATCTTACCAAAGCAGGAAAATCCTTCGGAACTGCTCGCGTTCTGCTGACAGTTCGTCCGCAGCGTTTCGTTCCGTTCCCTAGCGGTTTGTCCAGGGTGCTTTGTCCAGGACGTGCAGCTCACGCGCAGAGTTGTGCAGTACTCAGGCGTGTCGGACACGCCTTCATCTCCTCAACCAGCGCTTTGGCCTTCTTCATGTTGCCAGCCTCACGCGTTGCCACAGTTTCTTCGTCGGCGCTCTTCGTCGGGTTTCTTCTCTGCTGAACCGTCCGACCCGTCGGTCATGGGATGTCTGTGCAGAGTTGGCAGCGGTTTTGCACCAAGAGGACCACATGGCACTCCACATGGCACTCCACAAGTGGACTAGTCTTCTGAAGCAAACGATTGGATTTCCTAGGTCTTCCAACATCCACCTGTGAGGTCTCTCATATCACTGATTCAGGTTATTCAAACGTGGCAACACCACCCGATACAATGAACAGGTGCAAGGAAAGAACGTGGGTGCCTCTGCAGTCTTGGACTTATCCTCTCACAAGGAAGAGACACCACAAACATTGCTTCAAGCTTTGCATTCCCTGGAAACTCCAAGAACTGGGGCAACCAGGAAAAAAAGACACAACCACCAAACACATCAGCTGGCAGCTGATGTTGGGCTGATGTTTAACTCCGCTTGTTGGCCTGCAACTGGGCTTTGATCAAAGTGTTGTAGCTGACCACGTCGGACATTCCCTCAGCCGACGTCTTCACTCCGGCCGTCGCCGTGAGGAACCACAGGCGACGGGTGATCCATGATTGGGCGAGCCTGTGAGATGTTAGCAAAAATGGAAATGGAGATCCGCTGATCTGGCCAGTTGAGGTGGTGTTTCTTGTTGAAGTTGAACAAATGCTTTACATCCCACGAGAAAAGAAGATGTTTCTACCTGCAAAGGAAGGAAGAAGAAGAAGAAGAAGAAGAGGAAGAAGAGGAAGAAGAAGAAGAAGAAGCACAACTAAAGAGGGACCAATTGAATATCTGGGGTCCACCCTCAGGTCCACCCTGAACTTAGCTCAAGAAAGATTCAGGCGCATTCTAGATCACAGCACTGAACATGCGGCAAGAAGTTCAAAAGTGGAAGGGGGGGAGAGTCTGTGGACGGTGGGGTCGAGAGGAAAATGCCGCAGGTTGGTCCAAAACAAAACATCTGCTTTGATTTGTTAATCCTCATCAATCCTTATCTACTAAGTCTTTGATAAAGGTCTTGAGACAGAAATCCTCAATATGTGCTAAGTCCTTGTCAATCCTCATCTGCTAAGTCCTGCACATCTTTCTTCATTTGCTCCATCCATCTTTGAGCCTTCTCCAGCTCAGCACATTCCACGCACGCCTTCACATGGGGCAGAACAAAAGATCGAGTCTTGGTTCAAAAGTTTCTTGAGGGCCTGACAAACAACAGGCCCTCAGAAGACATAATGACTATTGACTGTGTCATGCATCATCACATTAGGTGTGGGTTGGGTATTTAATTGGAGATGATTGAGCCACCGATTGAGCCATATGGAGCCTCTTTGTACATTGGCACCTTGTTTTTTCTTCCGTGGCTTTGATATGCTTTGATATGAAGCATCCAAGAATCCAACTCTTCCCCTTTCAGACGTATGTGTTTTTGAAAAAGGCGACCCCCAACAAATGGATTTGGGATGGTGTTGGTCGATGTTCCTTCCAGGTCCCTATTTTTGTTACACACTCAAATGGCAGATTGTCACCAGCCCGGCACCCCTGTTAATCCGTTCTTCTCACCAGCTCTCAGCTGTGCACCGCACCGCCGCACCGCCCCTGTTGGTCCGATCTGAGACTCCCAGCATCCAGCACGGTGTTGTAAACCACGGAATTCAACTCCGCGCCGCTCTTCTTCAGCGACTCGAAGATGTTCATGGCCTACCAGCCGCGGGACTGCCCCGGCCCACCCCAGCGGCGCTTCGGGACACCCCGGACCGGGGATGGAGCGTTCGTTCGGTGTGCCGCAACGGGAGGTCACTCCATCCATCGAACGCAGGTCCGACATCTCTAGTGCTGAACCACGCGTGCCCAAAGGTGGAACTTGTGATTGTGGGCGATTGTGGGCTGGCTTGTCCATAGGGCACCCCTTGGAATCAGCAGCTGGTATATATGATAGATCAATATAGATCAACAAATACCGTTGGATAACCCAACCCCCCCTCCCGGGGCCCCTGAGAGACCACAGGGACCCAGAGATGTTCGTCCTCGATCTAGCTCTGTCAATCACCATGGTGACCATATGTGACCATGGTGACCGGTTTTGGAGCCCATCCAGCCAACTCAAGAGGCACTTAGACCATCAACAACTGGATGCCCAAGGAGTCTGGGACCCATTCGTTTGGTCTTATGTTGTCTTTCGGACATGGCCCATCTTCTTATTGCCGTTGCCAAGCTGCCCCCTCCAGGTTGTGCTCCACCGCGCAGTTCCGGATCATGGTGATGTGCTTGGCCACATCGGACCTCTACATGACCCGGAACCGAGCAGATCGTGGTTTTCGGGGCATGGCAGGGGAGGGCAACGGATGGCGGGATGGCCGAGGGAAGTGATGCAAGAATAGGGGCACCATGTCTGATGAGTTGAAACGCTTAAAAAATGTATCCTCCCAAAGTGAAATCATAGAGAATCCTCTTTTATATAGGGCTCATCTTGTGGTGCGAAAGGGTGCCTTTAGGATATGAGAAGATCAGGTTTGCTTCTCAAGCCGAGAACTTGGGGAGTCGGGAGGGGTGTCACGTTTCAAATGAGTGCGCCACGTAGATCAAGCAAAGAAACCTGAAGGAAGCAAGGTAAAGTTTGTTGGTCGTATTGGGGCACAAGTTGTCACAAATGGATCCAGAGGTCTTTTTCGGGGCCGTCACCTCTTCTGTTTTGACCTCCAATCGATTCACACTCAACCCGAAAGCAGCCAAACAGTCAAGAGTCTTTCAGGGCCGGCTCGGAAGAAACGCATTCTGAAACACCCCATAAACACCCCATATCACTCATTCTGAACCCCATAGATGAAGGCAAAAGCCACGGAAGATCGTAGAGAGAAAAGCCACGGACCCTGACCGTCTGCAACGACCAAGCGTCGTGTCGACCGTCCGTTCGGGAGCGATTCCCCTCCTCGCGCCGAACCTGTCGGCCGTCCAGGAGCGTACCGATTGATCCGAATGAACCGATGTCGACAGGTCATGACCTCTATTTTGGACCAACCACCCAAGTTATGGCCAAACTTCCGATCAAAACAGGGGTCAGTTTGAGTTCCAGGAATGTGATCCGTGACCCGAGCCTTTCGCCGCCTGAAGATTGGGGGAGGAAACAGACCCGCAGATCATATATCAACAGCAATTGATGTATATATATACAGAGAGGTTCCAAAAGAATTTAATGTATCAACTATCACTGTCTAGATGGAAAAATCACCATCTCACCACCGCTATTTCACTATATCACTATCCATTCACTATCATCTGATGCCTCCCTACGCGCTCTTCCGCGCTCTTCTCGTGACTGTGCCCCGAGACGGGTTCTCCGAGAGCAGTGACTGTGCCTGGCCGGTGTGGTTCGGCTGGAACGGCTGGGTGTGTTTTTTGATCGCTTTGTCACAAGGCTCCAGGTCGCACCTGTCTACACAGGTCAAGCGTTCACAAGCTTATGGATGCGATCCGAAAGCGCGACCAGAAGGAGATTGGAAGGTACATAGAGCTGAAATGAAGCTGCTGTGGGACAAAGGAACTGGGTCAGTGACTTTTGCACTGAATGGGTTGTCAGTCGAGATCTCTGCGCTCATGGTTTATTTCATGTTCCAACGTGAAGACGGCTTCACAAGATAGTAGACGGTTTCAAACAGCCAAACTTCAGACTGTACACGGCCCTGCTGCTTCATGCTCAGTTTCCTTCAGTTCGCTAGGCCCTGTGCGTGAAAATGGGTCCCGACGGTGGGCCAACGACTTTGGAGGATGGAATTGTAAAGAGCGTCCTCCCAATATCTACGATATAGATATTGAATTTATGCTATACATTATTCCAGATTGTGGCCTCTTTATTCCATAGGTTGCGTGCCCAAAACCGTATGGGACAACCCCATGTAACACATTGTTGGTTCCTTGATGGATGGGGGCTGGGGAAGCCCAGTGATGTGCACAAAGTGATGTTACAAAACTGCTGTTCCCTGAGGAAAGGGGGATGGGAGGAACCCAAATGGATGTAACAAATTCAAAAGCAGTGATTGGAGGTGCACAACTCGACGTAACAAACAAAATGTGTGGCATCATTTGTGGTGTAAGAGGGTTCTGTTCCTGGACAGAAACACAGGTTGATGAACCCAAACCAATGTAACAAATTTATGTGCCTGGCCTGGATATTGGGGTTGGAGGCCTCCAGGTTGCTGTTGTTGCACTGTTTCCACTTCAGTGGGGTTTGGATCAAACGAAAGCAGGCACATGCATGCGAAGCGAACAAGCCAATGCTTCACTGCAAGATAAAACCCCTAGCCTACGTGACCAGGCATGATATATGATTATATGATATGAGATATACATACAATGGTCATAGAGTCATATATTATATAGTAGATAGAAAATAGTTGGTTTTCTTTTGGTAGTTCATCAATCATGAATCATGAACAATAAGTATAAATTTGATCATTTACCGAAGCGGGAGATTTCCATATCACCAGGGGCCATGGATGCTCAACAGTTGCAGCGAAAATTTTCCTCTGCGTGCTTAGTTGACTCAAGCAGTGACCACGCTGGCAATGAGCTTTGGTCGCACTTGGGGACCAACTAGCAAATACGCAAAGACTGTACATACAGTAACTAAAAGATACTTAAAGTAACTTAACAGCTAAACCAACACACAGAATACAATTGCAGTTTGTAGTCTCTGCTGTGATGTTGCACATTTATATATGCCGCATGCCTCCTTGGCTTTTGGATTCCACCCCGGAATCTCAAAGAAATCAAACGATTCCAAAAGATACCAAAAGGCACACGTGTAACCAGGCAATTGCTGCAGCCAATGATTTTGGCAGCCCACAAGTCAGTTTTCGAGTTTGCAGTTTGCTGTATTGCCATTGCTGTTTGTTCTTAGCTGTTCGCCTCGCACGTGAGGAATCAGACAGTGACTCCGACTCGATCTCGACCAGCGGCGTGAGCAGAATGAGTCATGGTATTTTGGACACTCGACTCAACTGTACTCAACCGCTCAGCTAAATTCAACTTGCGTTTTTGTTTGAACGGATGTTTGTCAAAGAGTTTCCAGAGTGACCAGCAGCTGTAACTGCAATGGTTTTTGCAACATGTTAAGAAACCGTTAAGCTCCCACTTTCAATTGACTAAGGCAGATCACCCTGAGTGCCCCAACTTCACTTTGTTCCCGCGGGAATGGTGCCCAAAGTACCCCAGCTGAGCTTAATTGTCGAAAACTTGGCCAGACCAGAAGTTCTTGACTGGACATAAGCCCGTATCTAAAGCAGTCTAGCCTGGTGACTTTTCAGTAGTTGTGCTGTCTGGATAAGTAAGACTATGACTATGCCAACGACCGACCACAGGAACGAACTTTTGTTGAACTTCAGCTCACTCCAAGGTATTTTGACACGCTTGGGGTGGAGCCAAAGCACTTTGGAGGAGCCAAGTTCTTTGGCAGCAGGATGCCACTTTACTAAGGTGGAACATCGGGGACTAAGGGCCAGCCTGTGAACAAGGGTCATGAGTCACAGACTAGGAATTTGATGTCACATAGCCCATAGCCGCATAGCTGTAGCTGTGTCAGTTGATACTTGGGCAGGGAGCTTGATTGCCAAATCTAGGTGAAGAGAAGAGCCTGACATGAGTCACATAGGCGTAGACCAAGACTGAACAAAAGTGACAACTCTGCAACGGTTTAAGGATGAGCGTTGTTGGAGCGTGTGAAGGCACTGGAATATTGGGCTACTTGATGCTCTTTGGCCGCATTGGCCCTCTCAGATCAGAACTGACATAAGGTAGCTGGCTAGGTCACAAAAAAATCGGTCTAGACGTTTAGAGTTTAGAGACTTCGAGTCAGAGTCAACCTTCAGGGTAAAGCCTCGACTCAATTCATCACGGTTACAGTAGTACAGTAGTGACTAATGCCAAATGTGAACCCTGAGGAAATATGTCAAGGAGTTCATTGGTGAGGGCATTGACGTGGACTTGGTGCACAGCTCAGAGGTGACCTGGAGGAACCGTGAGTGGTGCTTGCGCCACTTTAACTGCATCTTGGATGAATGACGGATGACGGGTGCACTTACGCAACTGTGACTGTAACTCTAATAGAGTCTTTCAGTCTTTGAGTCCAAGTCAAGTGTATCAGTGGAGGCACATGACATGGCATGACTCAATTCATTTTGCAGTCTGGTCAGGAACAGGTCGACGCAAAATAGCAGTGGTAGCAGCAGTGTTCCATCTTAGTATTTGGTGCACACCCTGCAAGCCTTTGACTCAGGGAAGCACTTTTTCTCCAACGTGGTGGAGGAGGTCCGTGAAAAGGTGTTCTGCCACGTGTGCCAATGTCTCCACAGCCCGGATATGGACTCTCATTCAAAACAAGCAAAAACATACTTGGAGTCTTTGAAGTTCAATAGGATCAGTAGATTCACAGTAGACACAAAAGAACTGTTCACGTAGTAGCAGTAGCAGTAGAAGTATATCGAAAACATAAATATTGACTTGAATATTAAATAAGGCACATGGTCCGCATGGCATGGAACTTGAATGCAAGCTGACTACAAGTCTTTCTTTTGGACCGGACAGACTGTATGTATGACTGTAACAGTATGACTCTGACTCTACTCTATTAGTCTACTATTAATTATGACTCTGACTCTGACTTTCTAGAGTACTTGACTAGACTAGACTATAGACTATACCAACGATACCTTCTGGAAACGGCAGCAGGGTGTATGAGCAACAGCCCAGGATGCAAGATCGCCCGACCTGCTCCTAATGGGCATCCCATGTCCATTGTTCTCAGCCCTGAACTCGAAGACAAAGGCTAAGGATAAGGATGGAGCCGCCTACAATCCTTTCGAACAGTCACTTGGGTGAATGCTGGTAACTCTAGGTTTCAGGGCGATTTTGAGCGTGGAGGGAGAGAAGCAACGATTTGTTGGTTCTGCAACACTGGTAGTTGCAGTGGGCAGTAGGTAGGCCGTTTGTTTGTGTGTTTTTTGCCATCTTGCAAGGTAGGCAAACAGTCTGCGTAGCTTGCGAAGGCTTGTGAGTTCACAAGCTGACAAAACAAAACGAGACGAAACTCTTTTGGACTCAGGCATTCCCAAACAAGTGAAATAGCTACCAGGGATGTAGCCCATAGCCAGAAAGCCATATACAGATCATATACAATTATACAATGACAATATTGGATTATTTTATTACATCATGTGACATGTGTGTAGCCGTTCTAGTTCTTTATGTGTGTTAAAACACAAAACTCAAAACACTTCAAATCACGTTCATCTCGGCCTTGCTACGCCATTTGAGGAAAGGCTCCGATGTCATTGTTGCATGCTTGAGAAAGATTCGGCGGATGAACCCCAAATCAGTGATAGTTGAGGAGGCAAGGCCTGGGTTCCACAAGCAGACTAACTGGACTGTCAGACTGTCATCACTTTGTTAGTTTATCAATTTGTCTAGAAGTTGTCAAGAAATCAGGAATTATAAAGTGTTGTTGTGGGATTGAGAACTCATGGCGGGTTCAATTGACTTTCGTGTCGCAAACAACTGGTTCAGTGTACTGCAATTACATTGTTCAGTCCTAAGTCCTAACACTTGCAGTCTGTAGTAGATAGTTGATGACACGGCATGTTTTCACCAAAATTGATCTGACTTCAAACCTCAAGCTTCTTTCAGGTGGAGGGGTTGCTGAAGCCATTCGATCCACCACTCACTGGACAGTTCAGCAGCTACAAGGTTCGCGGATCAGTGTGGGAAGTGTCACCAGTCAGATTGACCATTGCCATTTCGAAAAACTCAGTTGGACACATAATCAGATCGTCAAAATAACTAACTAGTGCCAGTAGTAGGGAAACGACTGACTAGTGGCTTCCAATTACAATTGCAGCTGATGAGCAGTTGGCTGTCTCTTGATTTGCTCAAGTCTTGGAGTGACAAAGAGCTCTACAAAACCATCGCAACAAAGACCTGCATTAACTATTGAATACTAATTCTAATACTGATCCTATACCTATATTATATTATATATATTATTGCTATTACGTATTACTATTACTATTACTAATACCGATTACCGGTTACCTTCATTAGTTTGACTCAGGCTTGCTTCTGGATTTTTGATTCCACAGTCAAAAGCAAGAGGCAAAAGGAGTTTGAGTTTGCGACGTAGAATGTGAGATTTTGATGATGGTCCATCATAAACCTAAGTAGCAAAAAAACAGGAAGGGAGAGGCGAGAGTCGGGAGCATGGTAACTTGCAAAGTAACAAAGACACAAACAGTCACGATGTTGTCAAGCAGCAAAGGAAAGCACAGGCACAGACTCGACTCATTTCATGTTTTGTTGCTGATGCCCAT